AATTTGAACTGCCTTTTTGGTATGAAATACTAAAATGCTCCAGAAAGGACTTAGGCTACTTTTTTTCCCAATCTTTTTTCCTAATTTCTAGTGTTAGATTCATGGTGGTGCCCTAACCAAGAAGGCTTACAAACTGAATCCATAGTAATAAATAAAGCTACAGGAGTGGTGTTCTCTCAAGAAATCCAAATAAAACAAAAACTAAACCTGAATGAAAGAAGCTGAACTGCCTAACTTGTGAGACAACCTAGACATGAAACTCATGTCTTGGTGCTTCAATTATCTGGGGCTTTCTTGCCCGTTCTGATTGTGGGATCTGTGATATTTTTCCACTGCAGATGCATCAGGTTGTAGGGTGGAAAGAGGGGAGCAAGGAGCTTGTTTGGAAATTGTTATGGTTTTGTTTGTATTAAAGTAGTGTCTCGTAGAGGCTCCAACCAAGAATACAGGCAGGGGGTGCTGAGCACCCTGAGCACACACCTGCCCAGAGGCAGAGCAAGGTGCAGACACAGAGAGGTGCCATCAGGCAGGAGCAGATCAGCAGCCCCAGTTTTGGGTTGTATTTGGCCTGTTCTGCTTTTTGGCCATGTGTTACTGCAAAGACATGTTTGGCCTCTGTTGTTCTCTGAGACCTGACACCTTGTCATGAGATGCTCTCCTCTCAAGGTGTCCATAGGTGACAAAAGATGATGTGGGAGAAATGACAATCAGTGTTCCAGTGGCAATTACCTGCTCATCTTGGTGTCAACTGAGAAAGGATAGAGTTGGTAGATTTAAAGGTGTGAGTGAATTCTCTGTGTGTCAGCTACCCTTCAGGTGGGATGACTGCACTTCAGAGATGCTGGGGACCCCTGCAAAACTGCAAAGCTGGCTTGAGGATAAGCAACAGAAAGTAGCCATTGGAGGCCCAGTTGTGGGAAACTTGGTTGTCAGTGGTTGGACTGAAAAGGCTTTTTTGGAAAGTCAGCACCTGGTGCAGTAGTTGGCAGATTTACAGTGTTTGAAACAGAGGTAGATGCTTTATGAAGGTAGTGTTTTAGACCTGGCCCTCTCAACAAGTGATGTGGAAAATCACCAGGAATGTGTAATTCCAGTTTTCACTCTCCTCCACTTTATGTAAAGTGCCAATGCTCTAGGGATGCATGCTTCACTAAATCATCTGAATCCTTCCTTCCTCAAGGAATGAAGACATGTAAACAGAGTATCAGATACATATACAATTGCTCTAGTGACAACATAAACATATTTAAAACACATCAAATAATGCCACAAATCATGTACAAATTACAGCAATTCACTTGTATTAATTTATTCTACAAAGGTCACTTGTTATTAAGCAACTTTTATTAGAATTATCTATCAGTCTCTGTCTGACATGAAGTCTGTAACTTTTCCTTGAGACTGGATGTCTGCCTAGTACTGGGATTAAGAGAAGCTTTTTAGACCTAACTACCAATGTACTTCTTCAACATGAGTGTTATATTACTGGTGGGTTCAGTACATCTCCCAGTAGCTAAGAAATCCTTCCTCATTGTTTTATAGCAGTTTTACTAGCTCAGAGTAGTGAAACATTACTTTGAGAAATAGTTTCCCTCCCTCTCTTCCTCTTTGCTCTGTGCCTTCCTCTGCTGTTTGGCCTTTAATGCTGACCAGTAGTATGTATAGGTTCATTAGCACTATTGTAAATTTAGTCAATACTCTTTTAGTGGGCTCCAGCTGAGTCCAAACTGACTCACTGCCCTCCAGGGTGCAGTGAGAGACTTAATTACCCTTGTACAGTTCAACAGGAACAATGTCATGGGCAGCATTTCGCTTTGGCTGAAGAGGTTCAAGCTTCTTTCTTTATTGGCTGCCATTTTCAAGTTTAAAGAGAGGGATTTCAGGATAATTCACAGCTCTGTGTAATAACAGGGGAAAAGCACTGCTCTTTGCAAATGAGAATTGGATTGGTCACGTTTCATTACAGTACTTACATGGATTTTCCTTTGATGGTGGGAATATTCCTTTGGGTAGTTTTAAGGACAGAAATGGAAGTTGAAAGAGCAGAGGTGGAGGGACAAGTAATCCTCTAGTTGAGTGGCATGAGTTTCAGCATCTCTTACTGCTTGAAGCCAAGGAAGTCTGCATGTGATGGAGAAAGGGTAGGTATTGTATCCAGTATGGCAAAAGTTGTAGTCTGACATGCATGTAATTGGTGATGGGCCAGAGTAAATGCTGGGGAATGCAAGCCATGAGATTGCCTTGGATTTCTCATGGGGTGACTGAGGTAAACTTGAGGGATGAGGTTTAGGGCAGTGAGTGGATATCAGGCTATTTAAGTTCATGTTCTGCGAGGCACATCTATCACTAGTTCAGTGTTGTATAATTTTTGTGATTAATAATGTTTGAGATGTAACACTAGGTCCTGTGTTGGATTATGTGGTAGTCATGTGGTTCAATGTGCACAATGAATATTTCTCAACAAATCTATAGCTGGTCTCTTTTCCTGGCTTTTTTGTGTGGTGCTGGAGGCTTTATTATTTGACAACAAATACGATTTCTTGAGGTGTCACCCATTTCAACTGTAATACTGTAAAAACTGAGTGATTTACTCAGTATTTATAATTAGGATTAAGTGACTATATAGTGTTTGAGAACCCAGTGTGGCCTTCCACTGAACAAATGATCTATCACTGAAAACTATGGAGGAATGATACATTAAATCCTTTCTGCATACTCTAAAGGAAAGGAATGGCTAAGAGGAACATGCTCAGGAGGCAAAGAAAGTGAAGTAATAATTATAACTGCTTAAAAGCAGGCTGAAGCATTGCTTGCTCTAAGTTGGAGTGTGTTTACAAACTGTACAGCATATTTGCATTAGAAGAATCTTTAGTGACTCTGTGGTTTGATTCCTGCCTGTCATTACCCTTCTTATTTACTCATACACTTGCAAAATGTTTGCCTTGCTCCTCAGGTTTTATTACCTGTCCATAGCACATCAGTGGGGAATAGAGAGGAATGTCTGCAGTGAGCCCTTTCACTGCTTATGTCATGGAGAGAGCTCCTTTGTAGTCACTGAAGTGCATGAACACTCATATGTGCCATAAATATCCAAACAAATCACAGAGCAGACATCATCAGAAACAGTCAGAGAAGGAAGTAAAGTAGGAGGCATCATTCAGAGCAGGATAAAAGAGGAAATCTTAATAGCAGTCACAAATTCTGGGTTAGTCATCATTTGTCTCCATGCTGGTGGAGGGACTTGCATTGCGTCACTTGCAAATGTTAGTCACCGAAGCCATTGTTTGAGCCTCTGAGTGAGAGGGGCAAGATTCTGAGAGAAAATATTTTAAAGAAACATGGGCTAGCAGGATTTAGTGGCTGCCAGGTGTTCAGTATGCCCTTATTCACACACAGGTTTATGTGGATGCTGTAAGTGTGAACATGACATGTCACACATCTTACAGAGAATTATGGTTTACCATTAGTTTTCTCTAATAATCTGTTAAGGGAAATTATTCTTTTATCTAATTTGAATTTTTGTGTCATTTTATTCCTTGATTGAATATGGGCACTTTGAAGCAAATAGGTCAGTTCAAATTCACAGTTATGTTCTAATACATTGCTGGTGTGCTGGCAGACGAATTGTGGAATTTGTTTGAAATTTCCTAGCTGTTTGTGAAATGTATTCACTGCTTCATTTACACAGTTACTGCTGCTGTTATTGCATTATTTGTTACTCAGGACAGAGGCAGTTTTTATCACACACATGCACACTTTGTGCAGAGCAATTCCTTTCTTAAATGATTCACACCTGGCATTATGAACAGGCTAAAGAATGAGCAGGGGTAGTCCTTGATTCTGGCTCCCAGCACAAAAGGAAGGAGTGGTCCAAGCCTGGAGCACTGTCTGGGGTCACGGGAGAGTGAGCAGGCTTTGAAGCACATTGATAGAGTGCATGTAGAGCCTGGAGAGATTCTTTAGGCAAGTTAGCCCTCAATAGAATTTTTGGTGATAGCTGGTAGTCAAGACAAAAATGCAGTTCTTGATATAAAACACAAATGAATGGTGTTTGAAAATGAAAGAGCAATGTGTGTCTGTTAAATAGTATTTTTTAATATATATATATATATATATCTAGACGAGGAAGGATCACCTGAGTGTATGTGTATATATATGCAAATTAAAATCTAATTTACAAGTTAATAGTACAAGAATGAGTAAATTTCAAGTGGAATGTGTTTTATGGTCATAGGATTGATAGTTACTTTCACTGGATTTGAGATATTTCATTAATTACGCTAAGTGCGTGCCTATCCTGGGCTCATTCTGAAACCACCAGCGCTTTTGTATGAAAAGAACTGTAAGAAATGTTTGCTTGTATCTGTGGACAAAGCTAATGGAAAAACCCAATCCTCTCCACATATTTATCTGAAAGATGTGTTGTATATCTGCAGTTGATTTTCTAGAATGCTGATTAGCTAATACCGTTTTTGGCATGCAGCTTATCCATCGTGTGGGAGAACACTATCTGAATTTCAATTTACTTTTCCAAATGATGTTGAACTGCTATTGCTTTAAAGGCTTTTCTGGCCATTTGGGGACCCGCTGCAGACAGCGGAGCTGCAGTCTGGTCTCAAAATCTAATTGAATTGATGTAAGGCAGCTGAAGCAGTGACTGTTGAAGAGTTCGAGATGAATTGCAAAAAAAATGCATGCTTCTGAGTAACTTGGTGTCCTTGTTTGAAACTCTGCCCCTGAATTTACTTTCACTGCTAACAGACCTTTTTGTGGTAAAAGCCCTGTGCTTCAATATAGCTAAGGAATTCATTCATTCTATGTGGTTTGATACAATCCCATTGCTGTTAAAGAAACTTCATGCCTCTGAGAATACTAAGCTAAGAGTGGAGGAAGTGTGGAGAGTTAAGGTAATGTCATACGTTCATTCCTTTGTCGCCACCTGCAACTTGGCACAGTTTAAACTTCCAAAATCTCACCCTTCTGAATGTTTGTTTTTGCAGTGATGGGTCTTTCCCTTATGATTCTGTTCCCTGGCAACAAAATACCAACCAGCCTCCAGGCTCTTTGTCAGTGGTCACCACAGTATGGGGTGTGACTAACACCTCTCAAAGCCAGGTAAGCTTCATTTTTATGCCTCCTTCCCTCCAAATATGCATTTCTGCTAATGTTTGTAAAATGGAAGCTGTTTTGGAAAGTCCTCTTGGGATCAATAGCAGGGTCTGTCTCCTTTGTTGTATATGATGCATTGTTTTCCCAGTCATGTCCTCTTTGGTGGCATTGAACAAGAGGTGTCTGAGAGCTTGAGTCAGTCACTCCTTTGGCTGCATGCAGATGTCAGGCTTGGATTTACCTCATATTTTACACTGCATGGTTTCAACACTAAAAACATGGGATTTGAGTATTCCCAAACCTCTTGGGAATTCAGATTGTTTGTGTTCTAGTACAAAATTTAGCTTGATTCACCAAATGATAGTTGTTGCTTTTACCTGGGGTTGTGTTGTACTTGTGGGCTGGTGAAATTCAATACCAAGTCTACCTCACACTGAGTCGCTCACTACCAATTTTAGGCTGTATTCTTTCCAGTCTCTCCTGTTAGTGCTAACTTGGTAAAAATGTTTCAACATGCATTGGAGCACAAGCATGGGCTCTTGGCTCCCAGGTGAGAGTCCTACTTCCTGGATTTTCATTTGGTTCTCTCCACTATTAACTCTCTTTTTCTTCTGTGTTGTATATTGAATTGCACTATACAAAAAGAAGCAGCTTTTATGAAGAAGTTACCAATTACTTGTGATAGTGCACTCCCAGGGATGTGGTATAAATTAAGCATGCAGACAGTCTGGCTTTTGCTTACACCATAGGTGAAAAGCTCAAAAAACACATTACCATCTTTAATGAGTGCAAATGGTACATAAATCTAACCTGTCTTTTCTACTTCTTTCCAACCATGTGGTGTTAGATTCCATACAAAAATTTCTGGGGATTTTTTTTGTTATTTTAATTTTGCTAAGAAAATTAAAAATGAAATTGTAATGGAATGAGCCATTTGAAAAAGAAATTATTCAGAGGCCAAGTCATATAGATATTCACACAGCATTTATGTAAGCACTGGTTATGGTAAAATCTTTCTTCAATGAAACAAGAAGAGGAAACAGTTACAGGATCTAAAACATGTTTTATTTTTGTTGATTAACAACTGGAAAGAAAAGGTATCCCATCTGGGAGAGAAATAACTGAGTAAACATATTGGTCTATATTTGCCAGAAAATGAAAATATAGTTTCTTTTACACTTAAAAAGGCAAAAGGAAAGATAAAAAAATACTCTGAGTTTTGTCTGTCATAGGAGTATTGTAATGTTACTTGAACTCTTCATGGTACTTCAGATGAACGTGCAATAGAAGAAAAAGATCTCTTGCATGAAGAAAGAAAATGCAGTGACTCTGAAGGTCACTGCAAAGGAGTGGTGTGAGACTCTGGAACATGAAGCTTGGTTATAGCTATTCAGAGCAGATTGAAATGAATGTCAGGGTTTCATGTAAGTCTTTGTGCTCTCCGAGGGAAAGGAATGAGCTGGGTTCTTCCTTCTCTCAGATGCCTGAAGCTGTTGAGTTAGTCTTCCGCAAAAACCTGAGTTTCTTCCCAAGTAGGAGACTTTCCAGGAAATCTTGTGCAGGTGATCTATGGACAGCCACACTTACATCTCCATGGAAATCATAGCAATTTGGGAAAACCAATCCTTTTAACAAGCAAAACAAGTCCTTTTATACAGAGAACAGAGGACTCTTTTATAAGAAGCAATAAAAACAATCAGTAGTCTTTTAGGGAGTCAAGAATAGGTTAAACTACTGAAATATGTTCTTTCACAGTTTTTCTATCTGTAGTACCATTTGCATTGTGCCAGTGGGACTGACTACTTCCAAGTTACCTCAAAGTCCTGTATCAAACAAGCCAATCAACCAATTAACCAAACAAAAAATCTCTCACCCCTTCACACCCCCATTTGAAAAAAAAAAAAAGCTATGTCCTTTCATTTACTCAGATGAATGGTCACAGCATGGTTGTAGCAGATCTTTCTCATAAATATTTTTAATAAGCATATTAATTTGAGTTCCATCTAGTTGAAAATCGCCTGTTTGTTTGGAAATGGCAGAAGTAGAAATCACCAGGAATGTGCACCTAGAAGTCAACGAGGTCTGTGCTCATTAGAGTTCAGAGTACAGGTGGTTATGTTTTAATTTAACAACTGCAGCAAATCAACTTAATTTGCTTGAAGTAGTTCAAGGTACAGCCCCTTACTCTCGTGTTCCTTCTTGCAGGTGCTGGGAAATCCAATGGCAAATGCTAACAACCCTATGAACCCAGCAGGAAATCCCATGGCTTCTGGGATGACAACCAGCAACCCTGGAATCAATTCCCCTCAGTTTGCTGGACAGCAGCAGCAATTTTCAGCCAAGGCAGGCTCCACTCAGCCATACATACAGCAGGGCATGTATGGCAGACCCAATTATCCTGGAAGTGGAGGGTTTGGTGGCAGGTAAGATGTACTTCTCTGAGGGGAAAAATGGATGTAAATACTTGATAAAGCTTGTTTTAGTGACCTGGAAGAAGTGTCATGGGCTTATTTTAATTATATAAAGTCTCAGTAGCTATTTTTTGCTGGTTAACTGAAGCACACACTGCTTTTATAGCTTTGGAAATCAGCTACTCAAACTGCAAAGAAATTCATCACAGTAAATGGAAATGGCTTAGGTCAATCAATTAGCTCTAATAAACCCCCAAAATAAAGTTTTAATTAAGAGAGATTGTTAAACAGACCACAGGCTTAGGAATGATTAACATTTAATAAGGCCAGGATGTGAAAGGTATTGATGGTATAATTTCTATGTGCATATGGAGGAGTAAGCTTGGGCAAAGTAGTTTGCTATGCAACAGAATATTTCTGCCCAAAGACTTACTCCACAGCAGGAATTTGAAAAGAATCAGTAATGAAGATGTTTGTTAAAAAATATGGTTGTGTTGTGTATTTATATTGGGGAAGTAAATGCTGCATTACTCATATAATCCAAAAGTAATAGCCTGGCATTAGTTACATGATGATTTTCTGTGTCTATACTTTGTAAACAGGGATGGTGAGGGCACTTAACTGAAACCACTATTTATGGTGCAAAGGCTGCAGAAGAGACTGCTGCTGCTAGCACAGGCAGTCTAGTGTGAAGAATATGAGCTTGGGACTCAGAAAGAGAGAGAGTTTATCTCTTCCTTCATCTCTGCCACTGATCTACTGAGTGACCTTGAACAAGCCAAAAAGTTTCTTCAGCTTTGTATTAGCATCTCTGAAATGGACACAGTATATTGGCCCATATTTACAAAGATATTTGAAGTGGGAAAGGCGTGGTTTGGCTTAGGTTGGTTTATCTCAGGATCAATAGAAGAGATGGGCAGGAACTGCAGAGCACACAGTGTGGGATCCAGTGGAGTCGATTGCATTGGGTCTCTCCTGGCCTTTCTGCTAAGGTTCAGGGAGAAATGCTTTTATGTTTTCTTGACCACTTGCAATAATTCACCACTGAGGCAGATTAATGTGCTGTCTTGGAGGAAGTTTGCTGTTCCTGCTCCTGTGCATTTGCCCCTACACTACTGAGGAACAGAGCATTTCCTTTCAGCAGTTCAGCTCAACTTTGCAGGAAGCTACAGACCTGCAAAGAAGTTCACTCCCCCAAAATGACTGCTGGCAATGCCTTGCAATCCCAGTGGCAGCCCTGTGACTGTTGCGCCTGGGCGGCAGGTGTAACCTGTAGATGCCATCCATGTCTCCTGTACACACCTAATTACCTGGCCTGCTGGCTTTCATTAGTCATTGATACGTGTTTTTGGAATGGCTCCAGGTGAGGATCACACCAACATTCAGAACAAAATCCAGCAGGCACATCTTAATTCTCTCCTCCTTTCTCTTCTTCCCTGTTAGTTACCCTGGAGGCCCAAATACCCCTGCAGGAATGGGGATCCCCCCCCACACGAGGCCACCAGCTGATTTCACCCAGCCAGCTGCAGCTGCTGCCGCTGCTGCAGTTGCAGCTGCAGCTGCTACAGCAACAGCTACAGCTACAGCCACTGTGGCAGCCCTTCAGGAAACACAGAATAAGGACATGAACCAGTATGGACCGGTAAGAGAGTAACCCTTATGTCTCCATACCTGCCTGATCTGGACCATTGCAGGGAATTGGCTTCCTTCTCACTGTTGTGTTTGTTAGGGTGCCTACTGTATTTTTTTCTTTGTTTTGGTGCATGAGCATGGTTAGAAGTGCTTATGAGAAACTGCTGGAATGTTTGTATGTAGGTATGAGTCAGTCCCCATGTTTTTCCCAATAAAACTTGCCTAACTGTATTTTGAAGTTTAGGAGTTGCCTCTTGAAAATAATGAAAGATTTCTCAGTTACAGCTGCATCTGACACGATACATTGTTGCTGTCTTTGCCAACCCTCTAAATTTAAGTACCTAGGGAAATGTTCTAGAATCTTGCGATAGGCTTTGTAGTTCTTGGACAGTTATTTATTTTGCTAACTGCAGTTGGTTATTTGGGTTATTTCCCTTCAAACAGGGAAACAACAACAGAAGAGAAATTTGGTTTGTAATAATGTTGTCTATATGGGCAGCTATGTGAGAGATACATTTCCAGTGATCCATAACTTCTAGCCTGTTATGATGTCATGGAATAATTGTTTTCTTAAAATCAACAGGGTCTTGATCCATTCAGGTTTTTCCTTCTTACCTTTTTTACTTCTCTGAATTCTGAAGTGTAAGAGTCCATATGCCAGGTGATGAAAAGCACAAGGTCTTAGGAACTGTGGTGTTGTGCTCTATTTGCACAGCCAATCTGTTACCTTACAGTTCTAGACCAGCCAGTTGAAACAATTAATTTGTCACCTTAGGCTTACATCTGTCTTCAACTCTTAGGTATTTTATAATTTTATTATAAATAACTTCACCGCCCATCAAATGTTAGAGACCATTGAAGGAAAATGCGACATAAATCCTCCCCTTCTTCCCTTCCCCAAAAGCACGTTCAGCTCCCTCTTTCCATTTTATAAATGCATGTCGCATTTTATTCTTTTTTTTTTTTTTTCTTCTTCTTCCGTTGAAGGTTTGTTCCTCTTTCCAGATGGGTCCAACTCAGGCTTACAACAACCAGTTTATGAACCAGCCTGGTCCTCGTGGTCCTGCTTCCATGCCAGGCAACATGAACCCAGCAAGCATGGGAGCAGGGATGACACCTTCCAGCATGAGCGGGCCACCCATGGGCATGAACCAGCCCCGGCCTCCTGGAATGAGCCCCTTCAGCACCCATGGGCAGAGGATGCCTCAGCAGGCCTACCCAGGCCCACGCCCCCAGTCTTTGCCTATACAGGGCATAAAGAGACCATACCCAGGAGAGGTAATAAAAGAAATGATCTTTTGTGAACACTGTTCAAGTGGCAGCATACTGGGTAAGGTGTGGTGCACATCCCTCTAAGATAGGTGCATCTTTATTCCAGCCTCGGTAGGAGTGCAGCCATTAAAATATTAGCAGGAGCAGCTCTTCATTTTTAGCATCTGAAGTGTTCAGGTTAACCCTTGCTGTGTTAGTCCATATGATGGTCACTAAGGCCAAGAAAGGCCCCAAATCAGAATATCATTCTAAGATTCTCTTGCTGACTTCATAGATCTTAAGCAGGGTTCCATCACATAAGTGGAGTCTTTTAATGTGGCAACTTAGAAGAGACACTGAGGGTGAAATGGTTCATTTTAGCCCAGTAGATATCTGATCTGCATTTTCTTGGATGATTTTATTTTTTTAATCAAATACAAGACAGACATTGTACTGTAACACCAGTAGTAATAGCAGTCATTTTTTAGAGAAGAGTTGCTTTCTAAACTTTTTCAGTGTTGATTTTCATAGTCACTAAGATGAATATAAATGATGTTGAACTCAAATCCCTCTCTGTCAGCATTTATCTAATACCAGCTTCTGTGGAGTGTGATAAGGTCCCATGCTGCTACAGGAGATCTGCTTGGCTTTATAGGCAAAATTACATTGCCATTGACTTGTAGTATGACAGGGCAAAACACTTAGGCTCAGATTTTTAGAGAAATTTAGAAAACTGAAGATGTAGAGAAATGAGCTTTTGGAATTGAAAAGCACTAATGTGTTTTATTCTTCAAGGTAGCATGAATTGGGCAGTAGAGGCTTTTTAGGATTCCAGCAGCTCCCAGCATCTACCCACACCTAAATGTTTTTACAAATCTAGCCATCATTTAGTAGCTTCAGAGATCATTTCCTGGTGAAATTCTATATTCAGCTGAGACTTCAGCAGCAAGTGTAGAGCTCTGAATATTATGATACTGCCCTGACAATAATTATGGTACTAAGAGTTTATAGAAAATAAAGTTTATAGAAAATAAAGTTTATAGAAATAGCAAAGAGGACCGTGGCATGCAGAAAATACAGAAAACATTTCTGCCTGCTCTACAGAGCTACATTTCTTTCCTGCTCTGCAAACTGTTTTTTCTAAATAAAAAACTAATCAGAAATAAAAAAGAGATGTGCTTTTGCTGGAGTTGCTTCTCTTAAGAGAACTTGTTTGCAAGTAAGTGAAGAAAACACAAAATGTAGCTTATTCACGTGATTTTTCAGATTTCATATTTTAAGGATGGCTTTAAATCTGCTTTTTGCTGCTTCAGAATCAGGTTTTTAATTCTAAGTGAGTATGTTCATGTTTCCAACAAGTCAGTTCTGAACAGTCCCATAAATGTTGCTTGACTGGTGGGCTGGAATTTTGCAGATGATGTTTGCCTATTGTTTATTGTAGGGTTCATTTATGGAAATGCCTTATCATTAAGTTTATTTTTCAAATTGACATTCTACTACCCTTGGAGTTCCAATTTTCATTACTTCAATTCCAAAACCACAGGGCAGTCTTAGCTAGCACTAGCAAAGTGCTTATGACTAGTAAGAACTTCTCTTTAGCTGTTAAAGTATTGCTGAACACTCTGGCAAGAGGCCAGCAGAGCAGTTGGGTTGAAAAGGCAGGCGTGGACAGCACATCTTCTGTGCTCTTGTCCCTTCCAGGGTTTTGTTTTAGTTATTTATTTATTTAACTTTTTCTTTTTGTGCTTCCATTCTACATCTGAAAAAGGAGCCCCAGGCTTGGGTGTGGTAGCACTTAAAAAACACAGAATTTTTGTGAACTTTGCATCTGGTTGTAATTCTGGTTTCTTCAAGCACAGTGCCCTTTGCCAGTGTTACAAGGCTGAGTGTGTGTGTCTTACCCCCCTTTGGTTTGCAAGATTTTTATGCTTTTAAGAAGTATTCATCTGAAGGCGTTTTGTTTGTTTTGATTGTGCTTCTGAACGTATGCTAATAATCCATCCAAGAAAGCTGTTTGTATAAAACATGGCTTTGTGTTCTTGCATCCCTGAAACAGCCCAATTATGGAAACCAGCAGTATGGACCAAACAGCCAGTTTCCAAACCAGCCTGGTCAGTACCCCACGCCCAACCCTCCGAGACCCCTCACATCTCCCAACTATCCTGGACAGAGGATGCCAAGCCAGCAAAACACAGGGCAGTACCCTCCTCCAACAGTCAACATGGGGCAGTATTACAAGGTAGGAATCCTGAGGTTATCATCTTGGTCTGTTCTGGAGGCCATTGAATAATGAAGTCACCTTAGTGGTTTCATAGATACTGCTTTTATGTAGTTCAGGGAAAGATAGAAAAGAAAAAACACCCAAGTTTTTACTAGTGTTTTGGGTATCACAGAATCAGTCAATCGGCCAAGTTGCATTGCAACTTCAGAGCAGTTCATAAACAAAATTGAATGTTGCTGCAGCTCATTAGAGGCTTTTACAAGAAAATGTTGGGTTTGCTTTTAAAGTAGCTTGTAAAAAGAAGTACCTAATGGAATTCAGGTGTAATGTTTTCACCTATTTGTGGTCCCCTGCAAGAATGCAAGCATGGAAATCTGTAATAAACAAGTTCCACATTGCAGCATTCCAGTTTTGGACCTACAGTGGTCACTGTTGGATTAAGCCAGGCCAAACTTAAAAGATGTTCCAGCTGTGGGTTTCACCTTTGAACTGAAGTTTCTGTGACTTTTTCCAACCTCTTCCTCCTTTTTTTTTTCTTAGTTTGTTCCCTCTGTGCTCTTGTTTTGGGCAAGAACTAGAGTTGTTAAAATGTTGCCTAAAACCTGTTTATAGATAGAGCACTTTGTATACTCCAAACAGAGGTTGCACTGAGAGCCTGCTGAGCTTTGCCACCTTTGAAATGCCCACAAATGATCTATTGCACACAGGTACTCCAGTGAGTATAAAAATGGGGAGGACCATTGATCTTCTGACCTGCTTAAAGCATTAGCTGTTGAAGTATCTGGACTGCATTCTGAATTTGAATGTAGGCTGAAAGAATCTAACTTGCACATTGTTGTTAAATTGGAATTGTTTGGTGTGATTCACACAGAAAACACCATTAAAAACAGAGAGAAAGCAAAACCCTTTTCTGTAGAGCATCTGTGTGTAGCTGTGCTGTCCACTGTGGTACCCAAAGGAATGCCTGTTGGACCATGGCGGCTTTTGCAGGTCACTGTCAGGAAAAACATGAGGCATAGACAGATCTTCTGTATAATCATTCCAGTGCAGTCATTTATGCTAAAGTAGCTGCAGAAGATCTCTGTCAGATTTTGAAGTGACAGATTTTAAATATATCTTATGTACATTTATTTTAGATGGGGTTTAAGTTTTTTGTTTGCTGGATACTCCTGACAGGGAATTTGTTTCTTTACAATGAACTCCCTATATTGTATTCCAATATTGACTTCTCTGGAAACAGTTAGGAAAAAACAGATCTTGTTAAAAAGGCAGATTATCCTGGTTAGGGGGAAAATTCCACAATCAAAACCTGAACCTTTGAATTGTAGTGATTGTGCAGACAGTAACTGTGTATGCCAAATATAAAAACCAAAGATGGCTGGAAACCTGAATGTTTAAGTCTCAAGTATCTTAGGTTAGCAGAGCAGCATTTAGATACAGAGTCAGATTTGAAGTCACAGTTCTTGGGCTGTCTGTGAAGATTTTGGTTTTCTGACACTCTCCTGTGTTTCTGCTTATGGTACATGAGCCATGCAGCTGCAATTCTATTTAATGTCAGCTTCCTTCACATCAGGGTTATTGGTTTATTCTGCTGACTGTAACCATCTCCTTAATTATTATAAACTAAAGCAAAGGTGTTTTAATACATAGCTACTATTCATACTTAACTGTCCTTTTTCTATCAGTTTTTCTTAGCTAGCAGCAAACTAGGAACAGAATCAAATTGTAGGTGCACAGAACAAAAAACATCCCCTGACCCTCAGAGCTTTAACTCTGAGTAGAGGAGTTGAACAAGGATGGAAGTAAAAAGGACACAGACTGGCTAATTGTGTGTCTTTAGATTTTTTTTTTTTTTTTTGTGTAGGCTTCTGTGCACCAGGGCTATTTTGTGAGGAAGGCAGAGGGATACAAAGGGCTGGGTGGGCTGTGGCTCAGTGGAAAAACCGAAGCAAATGGCTGGTTTTGGAAAGAGAGCATTCAGAGGAACACAGTAAACCTTTTAGCAGCCTTGCTTGTATCTGGTCATTGCCTGAGTTAAGCTGGCTGGTCTGCTGGTTTCAGTTCCTGCTTTGCTCTCCTAGTGTGCCTCTTCCCTGAAGGCCTCCTGGGACATTCTGTGGTTTCTTCTCCAGAAACAGAGGGGCCTCCCTCCCTTGTCTGTTGTCTTTGATATTTGATAACAGTGATGTTCACAAGACTTATTGTTCTTATTTCAAGACTGCAATAACAATGTGATGTTATTTATTTTCTAGCCATCAAGGCCTGTACCTGTGGCAAATTACCCTCATTCACCTGTTCCAGGAAACCCCACGCCACCCATGACACCAGGGAGCAATATTCCTCCATACCTGTCACCCAACCAGGATGTCAAACCACCATTCCCACCTGACATTAAACCAAATATCAATGCTTTACCACCACCTCCGAGTGAGTAGCAAACAGAAAGCCCCTACAGTAATTTATTGTTCCTCTGTTCTCTGCCTCATGCATTTCAGAGTCGGGAGAGTAGCTCTGCTTGCTGCTCTGGGAGAGGCTGGAGTTGTTAACTGGTAACAGGTGGCATGCACAGTGTAGGGTCAGTTGAGCCAGTGGACAGAATAGAGAAACCCTGCTATGCTCTTCTAAAATAGAATATCAGAAAAGTTCTTCCAGGTTAAACTTGTAAGGATGTTACTCCAGAATTATTCCTTTAATATGCTTCCTGAGGAGAAAACACTTGATTTCATGTTTTGCTGTGTGTGATTTGTAGGCTTGTTTATTGTATGAACTTCCATTTGGGCTGTTTTGTTCAAGGGCAAAGCCATTCATTGAACAACACTGCAGAGTAGGATAAAACGTGACTATTTATAGCAGTGATCTCTATTGTGATCCATACAGGCTTCTTAGGAATATTCAGTACTGTGCCAGAAATTGATATATGTTCCTTTCAAAGCCACTCAACGTCACCGCTACACTTGGCTGGGAACAGGGCAGGAATAACAAGATCTCTCTGACTGGATACTAGCATGAGATGTTTGAGGTTTTGAAGTGACTGATGAACAATGGGAGCTATCATTTACTAGGGAGCTGGGAGAACCTTATGTTTTCTATAAAATAACTGCTGCTGCATTAGCACTTTGCAGCTCTGGAGTTCAGGATAGCTGAGAAATCAAGTAGAAGAAGATGGGCTGCAGTATTATTTGGGCAAGAACACAGGATTTAAAGCCATTTGGACTTCATAGATCAGCTGTAAGTTACCTCAAAATCTCCTCTTATGGGCTCAGATAGTAATTGAATACCAGTGTCTGGTCATCACGTAGTTTCAGCTGATGAAACTGTTGAAACTAATTGGGTAATGTTGATCCCTGTTCAAAGCAGGGAAAACAAACATTATCACAGTTTGACATTATTAAGAGATTTGTTTCAGTCTTCTGCCAACAGAGTAAGCTTGGACACAAAGCCTATCCTGTAACAAAAACCAGGAATTCTTGCCATGCCTGGTTTCTGTTGGTGGCTGGAATGCTATGGCCCTAATGTGAAGTGGGTGACAATAGGAGAGGCTCAGTTTGAGCCTTGTCACTTGTATCAGTTAGACGACAGAGTTACTTCTGATTGTATTTTTGTGTGTGTGTGTGTGAGCCTGCTAAGTTAGAGCCAGTACAGATCACTGTGCCTTTGTCACCGTTCTGTATAAATACACACGTTATTGTTGCACTGCAGATGCTAAAGGGAAAGTTCACGCCTTCTCTCCCTCTCCGATCCCAGCCAACCACACGGACGAGCTGCGCCTGACGTTCCCCGTGCGGGATGGGGTTGTCCTGGAGCCCTTCCGGCTGGAGCACAACCTGGCAGTCAGCAACCACGTCTTTCACCTGCGCCCCACTGTGCACCAGACTCTGATGTGGAGGTGAGCTCAGCCCTGCCCAGGGGACTCAGGCATCCCTGAGGGAGCAGTGCCAGCCCACAGGCACTGCGCTTAGGTGTGCCAGGAATTTCACTTCAAAATTGTAGCCTGGGTAGGAAGAATGTCCTTCCAGCTCACAGGCACTCTCACCTGTCATTTTCCAGAGACAACACGTTCTAAAATGCTTCACAACATGTATTGCACATCCTTGCTGTTAGCTCCTAGCAGTGTCTGAAAAACCACTGCAACAATTGCATCCTTCCTGCTCTGGCTGGAACAGGAGTGGGGTTTTCCCTGACCCACACCACTGCAAACTTCCATCTGGGAATCTGAACTGACCCAGGTGCTTTGTGACCTCTGTAGTGTTAGCTCTGCAGGGCTCTTAGAGTTTATGCCTAAATTAAATAGAGCAGAGTTATCTGATAAAGAAGAATAACCCACTAAGAGTAAGGACCTGATTTAGAGGCTTGGTAAAATAATTTGGAAAGACAAGTGCTTAAATCCTCCAAACCTGAGAAGCTAACTTCCTAAATTCCCCTGTTCTCTGACTCCACAAGTAAGCACAGCTCAGAAATGTGAGAGCATAGGTTTCCTCATACAAAGGCTTCTGGGTTTCGCTTGCAGTGAAGTCTTTATTTCCAGTACAGAGGAATATTTTTCCTTGGTGGAACTTTCCTGTATTTAATGTAGATCTGTGTAAGTGATTCTTGGGTATGTTTTGATTGCACCATGTTCATCGAAGGGCCTTAGATCAAACGACAATCAGAGCCTTAACTTTTTAAAAATTTATATATTTTCAAATACTACAGAATAATTTTGTCTCCTTGTTTGGTTTTTCTCAGAAAGTGTCTCTGTGTTTTTCTTTGCTGAGCCAGGATAAACCCTGCGTTGTCTGAGCCTTTCTGTGTGCCTTGTGGAGGCTGGTTAGTTGCTTGGAGTCTTGCATGGAGGTTGCTTACAGGTGTAACTTCAGGTTTTGGGTTTTTTTCCTGTGAGGATCTTCATCCCATTCACTGGAATCCACTGGAGATTTGTGTTTTCCTGGTGTGGGGAGTGTGAGGTGGGCAGAGAGATGTGCTCACTTCCCTGGCCGGGGACAGAGTCTGGTTCTAAAGCTGAGGCTTGATGCAGGATGCAGGAGTCCTTGCTACCACAGTGCCCCGGTGCCCTGAGGGAGCCTGGGGGCTGGGAGGGAGGGAGATTGCAGGCAGACCACATCCAATAATTAACACCTAACTTTGAGGTCAGTTATTGCTTACTTGCATTTCATTATCGTGGAGTACTCGCAGCACGGGGAGTTTTGGCAGTTATTTGCCAGTTCTTATTAATAAGTAATCACTACTGGGGATTGTGCTGGCTCATTCAGTAGATTTATAGTGCTGCACTGAGGCATGAGGCTGTTTCTTAATATCTGTTCTTTCTTTCTTCCTTCCCTCACCAAACACATAGCCTTTATTTAAACTTATTTTAATGAAGACTCATAGGTAAACTGTGCTCAGGTCTGCTGTTTTGAAAAGCCTGTTAATAGTGGGGAGAATGGATAGTCCTGTAATGAAGTCATTTCACATTAAGCTCAGGGCTGGATGGATGCCAGAAAAATGAATTAGTCACATGTGTGGATGGATTTTGGTTTTTATAGAGAATGGTGGAACCGAGCCAATTCTCAATATTTTTCTGCTAGTTAAAATATTCGGCAAAACCTCTCACATGCACACACATAATGAATAGCAATGCAAGTGTGTTTCTCCCCATGGGAACCTCTCATGGTTACGAGAAACAGAAAGGTTGAAGGCAGGGAAAATATCTCCTTGAAGCTGGTTCAGCCTTCACACTGCTGTGCTGTTAATAATGTCCCATGGTGGAGATGCTGTGTGCTGGGGGCACGGGGCTGTCCTGAGCTCTGTCACCCTGTGACACTCAGCAGGCCTGCTCACCTTCCTGCTTGCCTCGTGTATCAGAGCTACCAAGGCTTGCTCCCCTCCAGGATCACTGCGCTGTGTCTCCTGAGGTGAGAAACTGAGTGGAACTTGCACACTGAGCTTTCAGAAAATGGTTAATAAAAGAATGAGAAAAAGCCTGAAAAAATTTCATGCAGATGGCTTATGTTGAAAGCTCAGGTAATTTGTATTCTATAACTTGCTTTTTAAAAAACACACATGTTTGTGTCCACTGCTAAATCTTGATGTTTTGGAATCCAGAAAAGATGGTGTTGAGTCAGATTGAAATCTTTGTAAGGAAAATGGCAGTTAGGATGTTAATCTCCTGAATGAGCTGCTCCTCTTGGATCTTACAAAGCTATCTTCTTTCAGGCAACATACATTGTTCAGGAATGTACATTTAAAGTTAGCATAATAAACTTTGACCTGTCTTTGGCTGTCAAGAACAGCAGAATTCTGACATTTCAGTTCAGTTTTCTGTATTCTTTTAAATTTCTTCTTGAAATTACTCATTCCTAACACAAGGTCAACATACACTTATGAAACTAAAGTCATAGTCTCTACCCACTTAATTTTTAATTAACTTCATCTCAGCCTTTTCATTTTTTGAAGGTGTTATAGAACTAATTTCTGAGGAGCTAAATAGTGAGTGGAAGTTATCATAGGGAAGGTGGGAGGAATTCATGCCCTGAAAGAAGGTCCAAATTGGATAGATTTAGTCCACAGCCATGTTAATTTATAATCACAGAAAACTGATTTTGGTGGGGAGTAAGATATAGGAGCCATTTTATCTTAGTTAATTTACTTGTTCTAAGGCAGGATTAGCTGTATTTGTATTTTGTCTGACATGCATTCATTCAAATGCTTCTTTGAGTGCTCTGAGGTAGTGAAGAATCCAGACTTCCAGCACAACCATTGCAGCATATTGGTTTCTCATTCTTAATTCCTAAGACAGAAAGGACCTACCTGATGTTGACCTTCTTCTTTCTGCAGGATCACTCCATGGTCTGGATTTGCAAAGAGGTTTGAGACGTTTCCTTGAAAAGTCCTTTAAAATTGTAAAATAGGAACAACTTTGGGTCATGCTTGCATCATTAATTCATCGTGACTTGCTTTTGTTCAGGGCTTTTATGAAGAAAGTGTGTTATATTCTTAATGGCAATAATTCAAGAAAAATAATCTGATTGATCAAGAAAAATGTTCCTAGCATAAAAACCACCATCCTGTGCAGTGTGAAAGCAAAGTTAAAGGAAGATTTATTGGTTGTTGTGCAGGTCTGACTTGGAATTGCAGTTTAAGTGCTATCACCATGAAGACAGACAAATGAACACAAACTGGCCAGCTTCAGTCCAGGTCAGCGTTAATGCAACCCCACTTACCATCGAGCGTGGTGACAACAAGACATCTCATAAACCTCTGCACCTAAAGCACGTCTGCCAGCCAGGGAGAAACACCATTCAGATTACAGTCACAGCGTGCTGTTGTGTAAGTACACCCCGCTCAGGGCTGCAGCTGCTCATGCTGACTCTGCTATTTACAGCAGTTTGCAAATGTTGCCTTAGCTGAAAGAGCCTTACTCTCATTTTTTTTCCATGCCTTTTTCTGGTAAGGTTTTTACTTAATGATGTTGACACAGTCAGAGTGCTAATATGGAAATTTTTGCTGCTTAATTGTTGCAGAATGTAGTGGCGTCCTTCCAATGTCTCTGACAAGGTTCATGGTCTAGGGGAGGGAGTTTTATCTCCTGCCTTCTCATGTGTGCCTGTGTAACAAGGGAGCTGAAGTCTGTTGATGTAGAAGTAGATGATTGAGATGATTGCAATGAAGACTGTTGATGGTACTAATTTCATTTACATAGTGTATTAAACTATACAGTCTTTGGTTTGTCATGAAAACATCAACATTGGTGCTGGTGATGAATTTTCAGTACCTTTTCAGATGAAAAACTCATATTCAAAGATGCAATCTAGACCATTCAGCTTTCCCCTTTCTCCTTTTCCATGGGTTAGTTACTCTTGGGAATGAGTACTGTATTTTTAATGCAGACGGTTCTGCAAATCCAGTCAGAGCTTCTGACTGTTCTCTTGTCACTGACAATAAAGCAAGCTGCTAGCTCTCACAAGGTCATGGTGTGAGGCACTTTGACAAGAAGCCATCCACCCATTTTTCTTTACTTCACGTGGATGTTTGCCTGCATAATGTCATTTATCTGGTGGCAAAGAGCAGGGGGTAGCATCCTGTGAATCCACAACGAGCTCTGTGTTGGGTAAGAAGATTCAGCTGATTCCAGGCACATCAGTTGCAAATTGTTTTCACAACTTCCAGCGTAGTCTGAGGGCAGGCAGGTAGGCAAGGCTGTGTCAGACAGTCCAGGGTTTTAAAAATAAACCCTGAAGTCAGAGATTAATATGTCAGCTGAATGTATACTGAATATTCAGGAGGGAGAAAATGCAGAAAATCCTTGCTTTTTTAAAGCCCTTCTTTACATTAAGTGTGGAGTAAGTGCACAGTGTGCAGAATATCCATAAGGGAGCGTGTGTGCTCAGCAGAGCAGAACCAGCTTTTATGTTTAAGCCTCAGGCTCTCACAGAAACCAAGTGTCCAAGGGAAGAGTGCAGCTCAGTTTGGGAGTGCATTAAACACTCCCAAACGTTTAACCTGTGTGCTGGGTTCCCTTCCTAACAAGAAGTGTTTCCTTGCAGTCGCACTTGTTCGTGTTGCAGTTGGTGCACCGGCCATCGGTCCGCTCCGTACTCCAAGGTCTACTAAAGAAACGCCTCCTCCCAGCAGAGCATTGTATCACCAAGAGTGAGTTTGCCTTCTGTGGGGGGGATGATTTCCCAGAATGTCTATGTTCAGTTGTGATAAGCTATCTCTACGCCAGATTTACTTGTTTGCTGATAACCTTAAGCTGTACTTAAGGAATTTGCAGAACATGGTGTGGATAGATGAATGGCTATTTGGGTGGAGGTAACAAAGTTTCAAGGACACAAGCTTAGTTCCTAAAGAGGACTGTCCTATTCCAGAAGAATCTTTCTGGCTTTTCCCCTATATTTGTCTTTGACTCACCAATAAAGAAAGATTAATTCTTTATTTATCTAGGGCTGCTTTCAGTACTTGTATGACACTTAATTTGATTAACAATATAGCTGATATGCATGTATGATGGTTTTTCTGTTCAGGAGAATGTTCTAAATTACTCAGAAGACACCTCTGTGGGCCTGTTGTTCATTCAATTGTCCCTTAGATGTTGAAGTAATTTCTTAAATGTTGAAGAAATTTCAGATTTCTGTGTTAGAACTTGGAATACACTTGTGCTTTCTCACCTTCTTCCTAAACAGTCAAGAGGAACTTCAGCAGCGTAGCAGCTTCCTCTGGCAATGCAACACTAAATGGGGAGGATGGGGTGGAGCAGACTGCTATCAAAGTGTCTCTCAAGTGTCCAATCACATTCCGGCGGATCCAGCTCCCGGCCAGGGGTCACGACTGCAAGCACGTGCAGGTGAGTGGGGGCAGTGCCTGCAGGGTCCCTCAGCCACGTGGTGGTGCAGCACCTTCAGTGTGGGAGCACCTAAGCATGGCATTTGTGTCTGTAAGCCTCAGTAGTTAACTCTATGATGCTTAAGGTAAAGGAGAAAAGCAAGCTGTTTGTTTTAGTTCTCAGTGCTAGGAGGCTTTTTTCATGTCAGTTTTACTTTTGTCTAACTGCTTCATTTAATACAGTATTTTCATTTTGTTTTGTCTGGTTTGTTTTTTTCCTTTTTTGTTTTTTTTCTGATACCTAGTGCTTTGATCTGGAATCTTACTTGCAACTGAACTGTGAAAGAGGAACTTGGCGGTGTCCAGTATGCAAGTAAGTGCATCCATACTACATAAAATGCAGTTGTACACACTTTGACCAAATTCAGATCATATTTAAGATCTTAAAGGAGAGAAGAAGGAAGTTCTATGAAATAAGGTTATATATCACATGTACTTAAAAGGCATAAAGTCCAATGAGAATTCCTGCAATATTTTACCACCCTGGATTATTAGAAATTTAAAAAACATGTAACAATATATTTTCTCACCAGATTTCATTACAGATCATCAATGAGTTGTGTAGGGTTCAAAAGAGGATCAGATATTTACATTAATAAGATAGATATCTACAATCCAGAATAAGGCTGATTTTTTAAAAAAAGTAAAAAATTTCCAAGGAGCAAAAGCTGGAGTTGTTGCTTAGAGAAAAAGAGGGATGGATACCTTGGTATAATTTCAAGCTAATATTTTGACCAATGAGTTAGTGTACTGCAGAAAAAATGGAAGAAAAACTTGTAAGTGGTTACAGGTTGTCCATCCTTGTTTAACTGGGCAGAAAACCCAGCAGAATGTCTGCAGGCCAGTTCAGTGTCTGTCACCTCCTGTGCTCCCTGCACAGGTTGGGAGTGGGCTCCAGCCTCAGCAGAGGAGCCAGGGCTCTTCAGCTCCAGCAGCTGTGGCTGTAACAGCTGGCCCTGGCCCTGCACAATCTCCAGTTGGGTCCTTGCTCTGCCAGCCAGTGTCAGGTACAAACAGCAGTGGGGATTGCCCGTTCTGGCTGCTCTGAGGACATGGCAGGCTGGAGATGAGCTCGTTTCCATTACTGTCCACGGCTGATCTGTGCCCTAACACACAAGTGCTTTCTCCAAATTGCCCAAATCTCTTCTGTCTGCTACATTTGGCTAAAAATATCATGAGAGTTGGTTATCTTGCCTTCTTAATTCATGTATCCATGCATCTAGGCTAAATTTTTGTCCTGTGTCTCTGAGCATGCGCACCTGCATTCAGATCTGTCTACATAGCTAAGTCATTTCCAGTTTTGTTTTGTTCTGTCCCCATCTGTGCTACCCATTAAGAAGAGTAGCTGTAACACTCAGTTGCTTTGCAATAGTACTGTGGACCTCAAAAAAGAGAAAGATCTAATAAAAAAAAATAGTGCTAACTGATGTTCACAGGAGAGATCTCCTATGTTTGAAGATACTTCAAATTTGCATTGTATTTCAGTAACAAAAATTACTTAAAGAATGTGAACAGCTTGTGGACACACACAAGTAGATGTATCCTTATCTATTTGGTTTAAATATCCTGGTAATGTAGATGTAGAACTAAAACTGTTTCCCCAAATCATTCTTTCCCTTGCAATATTCTAACATGAAGTTTGGTTTTGTTTTTTTTTTTTTTTTTACTTTTTAGTAAAACTGCTCTTTTGGAGGGCTTGGAGGTTGACCAGTATATGTGGGGTATTCTGAACGCCATACAAAAGTAAGTGATCTCCCTGTTGATGTCCAAGACTAAGCAACTAGGAGTTATGGCAATGAGTACTGAGATAGTCACACCAAAATAGATCTTGGTGATTGATCTTGAATATTCCATTGCATGGTGTCTTGGGGGAGCAGGTGACAGAGTGAATCAGTTTCCATCTTCTTTGTAGATGTTGTTTGGGTTATTTCCTAATGGCAGCCTCACCAGTGAAGCAGAGGGAAGAGCCAGAATGGAGGATTAAATGCTTTCTTGTATTTACAAGCAGTCCCTCTGATTCAGAGGTGACAAACCACATTGAGATGTTTGGATTTCATTGTGTGGATAAACACAGAAATGTGTTCTCATGGTTGCCTTATTTTAAATTTGCTTTCAGCACACTCTTGAGGAGTAAGAGATCTTAATGTTGTATTACACCAGAGCTTTTCAGAACATTGGTTACCATGCAGATTCTTATGGAAAATTCAGCAGAATTGATTTAAAAATATTCAACTAAATGCTAAATTTTCACATTGTTTTACAGCTCCGAGTTTGAAGAAGTTACCATTGATCCAACTTGCAGTTGGAGGCCGGTCCCTATAAAGTCAGATATTCACATCAAAGATGACCCAGATGGCATTCCCTCAAAAAGATTTAAGACAATGAGTCCAAGCCAGATGATCATGCCAAATGTAATGGAGATGATTGCAGCTTTGGGTCCTGGTCCGTCACCTTACCCATCCCTACCCCCTCCTCCAGGAGGCAACAACTCCACTGAATATGGTAACCAAGGTTAGTGCTATGGCTTTGTGCACCCAGCTGCTCTCTCTGGCCCTCAGGGGTTCAGTCAGCCTTGTGATTCAGGTGTGTCAGTGCATCCTCTCAGAGTGATACATGAGGACAGTAAATGATATGGCTGCAATTCTGAAATTCTGAGTAGGTCTTTTCAGTTAAGGTTCATCTGTTCAATGGAGTGTATATTTTAGTTATATATTATAGTATTAATTATTTTATTTAATATTTAAGTATTTGTGCTTGTCATGTTCATAGTCATGCAACCCTCCCTGAATCAAGAAACATTGTATATTACCTTCTATATTCATGGCCTGCCATAATAGACATATTTCTGCAATTTTTTTTCTGTGCATTTTCCTTCTGTTCCACTCTCAAGTGAAAACATCTGGTACTGCATAAGTAGAAAACCTGACCCATTAACCCTGCTACTTGGGCCACTAGGTTAACTTGTGGCCAGGTGAGTGACATTCCATAGGCCACCAGAAAAGGGACAACTTGTAAAAAGCTTTTAGCTGCTTTGCAAACACCTTTGCATTAGAAAATTACTTTTGAGCTCCTCGGCCTGTGTGCTACCAGACTGAGGAACAGGGAACTAAATGCAGGCAATGGAGATAGGTTTTCAAATTACTGGTATGTTGTGAATAACTCAATTATAGTGACAATTCTGAAAACATGAAACCAGAGACTGTTTCTTTTGCAAGTAACATTATATGAGTCAGTTCAGCTCTGGGAAAAGACCAACTGTTCACACTATCAGAATCCCCAAATTGATTACAAGGTGATACATGTGCTTTTTGCAGGCGTTGAAGAAAAATATAGATTGCGTGCAAAATACGGTTAATTTGCTCCAGTGACTGCAAAACTGATGACAGATGATAAAACTTACAAGGTTTTCAAACAGATGAATGATTACTATAACAAAGCCAAGAGCACTGAATCACATATTTTCCCCCCATTTAGTAGGAGTGAAGTGCAGTCATAGCCTGAGAACAGAGCTGTCTATTCCTCACCATATTTCCAGCTCATACTCAGGAGCAGACAGGATAGCCACGTCACATGTGGGGTTTGGGCTTGGTGTGAGCATTGCTGCCTGGACTGTTAGTTTGCTGCCTTCCCCCATGGGTCCTGTAGCAGAGGCAGTGACTGCTCCTTGGAGCCCTGAGTGCCCTGTGGCAGGTGAACCCCACCTGTTTGCCCTGCAGTAGGGATGTCACACAGTGTGCCAGATAATCCCAAATGTCTCACAGGTCTCTCCCTCAGCACGTGGCTCTGCCCTTGCTGCAGAGAGGAGCTTGCTGCTGCATGGCTGTAACCCCTGGGCACAGTGCCTTGTATCTTTATTCTCCATCAATACGTGCACTGAAACTTAGTGATTGCAATTACATAATGTCCTCTGATTAACAGTTCTTCAGAGCAATGTAGTCGTAGTAGTATTACTACTGTGGTTTATGTTTGTTTATTTGGGTTTGACAGGAAGCATACTGAGGTTTAATTTGCAAACATAACAAATATTCAGTGCTACAAGACCACATTCCAGCTGCCTGCTAATTAATTATTCCTGATGCAAGGCAAGACCAGCTATGTTCTGTGAGACTCATCCAGTTTGCAGATTAACAAAATGAGAATTAGTAAGGCTCTGCAGTATTTACATGATAGATCAAAGTCCTGACGTCTTTGAGAAGTACTCTTACATGGCTAATGACTACTATTCCTCCAAGATTAAACTTCTGCTTGTGAAGCTGTGCTAAAGAGCAAATGATGCAACTACTTCAGTTTGTCAAACTCCCTTCTTGAGTTGAATATTTAAAACTGTGGTACTTCTGCTGACAAACTGCAGGCGCTCTGTGCAAGCTCCAAAGCTGTTCTGTTATTTCAGAGCTCAGTATCATCCACTTCAGTTGCTTGTATGAAATAGGTGAATGGTTTTAGTTCACTTTTTCATAGCAAATAAGCCACTAGGGTTGATATCTGAGTTAGAAGTGTTAAGAGAGGAATCTTGACAAAAAATATGAAGAGTAAAATCCTTGTATTGGGATATGTGCTTGCTTTAGAATTCAGGAGATCCCTGGGCTGAGGTGGGCTGGATCCCTATGGACAGTGGTCATACAGTACTTGTCCTGCAGAGCAGCAGGGGACTCCAGGCTTCAAGATATGTGTGTAAATCCAGTCAGTCAAGTGAATTTTGTAAGTTTTGTGGGAGCCCCAATAAGATAAGAACACCTCTTCTATGCCTTTTATGAAGGGATAGAGTAGAGACTGTTCTATGAACTGGTATTGTGGCATCTTCCAGATTCTCTTCTGTCAATTATTTTCATCAGAAGCTGAAGCAATGCTACAGCCCTACTGAGTGTTGTGAAGCACAGCCATAAATAACACAGGTGTCCTATAAATAATCCTGGACTTGGGCAGTCAGTCTCAGTTACACTGAGATGCTTCCAGATACAAATATCCCATAGAATTTAATATCCTGTTTACTTCTCAGCATGGTTAAGTTTATGTGGTGACTTGGCAATAGTTTTTCAAAATGTCAGCAGTTTTCAATTAGTTCCAACTCATAAATGAATTATTGCAGCAGCCAGTGTTTGGAAGCCAAGTGCCCTGTCCCCACTCGCTCACCACTGGGGGCACAGCTTTGTCAAGTTCAGTGTCACAGCTCCCTGTGCTGTGCAGGGAGGGCACACATCACACAGCTCCTGCAAGATAGTCAGAGATCAACCTTGGAAACAAATCACATCTGTTTCTCTTTCAGGCAACAGTTACCAAGGTCATGGCAATTTTGACTTCCCGCATGGGAATCCTGGTGGCACATCTATGAATGACTTCATGCATGGGCCACAGCTGTCACATCCCCCAGACATGCCGAGCAGCATGGCAGCTCTGGACAAACCTCTCAGTCACCCCATGCAGGAATCTGTAAGTAATGGTGCTGGGCACACAGGTTTTCCTTGGTGGGGGTAAGGAGCTCTCATCCAGCCGATGGACTCACCTTAGGAACTGGTTTTACTTTCTGTGGGTTCCTCACTTGGGAAGTTGGTGAAAGAGTAGTCTTGAGAAATGCCAGAAATGCCAATTTTTAGTTTCTGGCCATTTTGAGTTTTTGGAGAAGCATTTCTGCACTTTTTGACTTGTCATTTAAGCTTGTTTATCTGAAAGAAAGAACCTGGCTCAGTGTGCTTGTATTAATCATTGTGCTTTGCTCTGACACATGAAAAAAAAATGTACTTCATTCTCTAGGCCAGCAGGACTGTGAATATCCATCTCCAAGAGACAGCTTGTTAAAGCAAGATATTGGATGACTTCAGAGCAGGGACAATATCTTCCCTGGCTTTTTGTCTGAGGGCAAAATTTGCATCAAAGCATTTTGTGGGGGAATTCTACTCAAGTAGCATGAAAGGCACTTTTAAACTTTTGGTAATAGGACAAGCTTGCAGATTTCAAGGAGAGACACTGCCACTGGTCTGAAAATATCAATGTTGGAGACTGAAAAGTAGAGGTTCCTCAGGTCTCAGATAGTGAGGCAGAACTGTGTATTGGAAAAGCAGCTTGCTCAAAGCACTGAGTTTTTTGTACTTTCTATATATCTCCAGAAATTTATATATCTTCAGAAAATGCAGTACTGCAGCAACTAGGTGATAGAAAAGCTATCAGCAGCATTTAGCTCTTAGGCATGGTTAGTCATCTATTTTAACTCTGTGTGTGGGGTGTGTATATATCCTTTTATGTTCATTTAAGTTGCAGAGCAGGGGGTTTAAAGTGCACTGTTACTGCACAGGAAGGATGTTTAACTTGACAAGTCATATGTGCCGTGTCTTTAGTGAATCCTAGAAAGTACAATTTCAGAATGTAATGAGGAAATGTGGTAGCAGATGCTCAGCAAAAGCCTACTCAGTCAATGTCTCCTCTAGCTGGCAGTGGGTTTTCCAAGGAGGATGGTGAGAAATAGAAGAGAGTGGAGAAAGAGTTCTTAGTATAGTTTGGAGAGAGTCCAGGTACCAAGATGTCTGCAGAGGAAGAGTCCAGAAACTGTAATGACTTTACCACTTTACAGGCTGATACATGAGGACAAACATGCTGTAGTTTTGCATTGGCAAATACTGCATACACAGCACAGAATGGTCAGAATTCTCTGCACAAGAATCAACCACACATTATCAGAGTACAGTAGTGAGAGGAAATGGGTGAACCAGCCTGAACCACTCACAGCTGCTTTCCCTCAAATCAAAGTCACAAGGAACTATTCTTTGCTTCCCATTATCTGGCACCTGCCTCCTGACTTCATCAGGCATACCTTTGCTGTAGTTGTTGCCCTGGTGAAATTTTTGAAGTGGTAGGATATGAAGTAGTTGAATATAAAAGTGAAGAATTTGTAGCTTTCTGAAAACGGCACTGTTTACATATAGCAGAGGTGAAAGTTCCTCAAGGCTGTGCATGTTCCAGAGCTGTGGGGGTGTATCTAGGCAAATGTTAATGGACTTCCAGTTCTGTGGGCCAGTCTGTAGCAAATTTAATACTTGCTTATGATAGCTGGCAATTAAAGTAAACCTTTGCCTCACTTCTCCCTCATCTATCATGCTACTCAAGCAATATCATTTGGGAATAGCAAGCAGTGCTAAACCAGATTCCTACATTATGTCAGTGGCTGGTTTTCTGTAATGAGAATCAGTTTTCAGGTCTTTTAGCAGAGGAGAATTAGATTAACCTTGTCAATGTGGCTGTGCATTTTTCAGTACACATTTGAGGACTCTTAGTGCTCCTGCACAGCCTTTTCAGTGTTATAAAATCTCTGCTTTTCTCTTTCTTTCTTATCCTCTGTTCTTTTCTCTCAAAATGAACTGTTTGTCTGTAGCAGACACTCAAGAAAAGACTTTTAAAATGACTGCTTTTAGAGAAATTACATGCCTTTAACACATGCCTAAATTGTGTAGTTGCATGTCCTTAAAGAAACACTTCATACGAAAACAACTATAAACAAATGGTGTGATTGAACCGAGGTTTTAAGGTATCTCCTGTGCTGTTCTCTGGCTTTGTCTTTCCTTTTACGAAGTTAGCAGCTTTTTGTAGTTTGCACGTTCTATTCACTTTGGCCATTTATAAGGTGAGTTGGGATTGGATGTTCTGTCCTTTTAGACCTGAGGTCTCTCTTACTGGAGCTGAATGCTGCCGAGGAAGTTCCTAGCAGTCCTAGTTTGAAGATTTCTGTGGTGACCCTTACATAGTTGGTAGGCAGAGAAATTTGATGCCTCCAGACATACTGTGTAGGTCACTCCAGGAAATGCAGATATTTGCCCAGTGTATTTAGGGCTAGGTAACCAGGGATGGATCAGTCAGAATTTCCTTCCCTTAACACTGCTGTTCCACTCCTATAGAAGAGGAAAAAAAACAGGATCTGAAACATGAACAGAATACCTCTTCCCCAGCACAGTGTTGTGAAAGCTGTGGAACAGATACCACATTGCAGCAGTGCAAGATGGCTGCAGAACAGCTGCCACAATCATGGCAGCTCCTGTTTGTTTTCAGAAATTGTAACCACATTTTAGACAACAGGGAATTCAGTTAGGTCTAGTTTAGTGTTTCTTGCAGACAGTGTAAGGAGGGACTGAGCAATGGATGATGACACCATAGGTTCATACACTCAGGGAGGTGATATGAGCTGGTGCTACTGTAAAAAGTCATTGCCCTTGTTTCTATTTTCACTTTTCCTCCCTCTCAGCAAAAGTGTTACTGAAGCTATGAAGTGATCTGGACCCAGGTACTGATGTGACTGGAAACTAATTCAGGGGCAGGGTGGGGAAATTCAGTGCATGTCTACAAGGTTTCACCTTGCAGACATGGCAAACAGGTGGATGGGAAAAGTGGCCAAGAACATCAGCAGGGTAGGCAGGATGGCATCTTTTAACAGTTTTGGTAGCTAACACAGCAGAAGAGTTGGTAAAACTGTGCCCCTGGTCATGGAGAGAGATATAAACCATTGACTTAACCTGGTGATATTTTCTCCACTAATAATTTTCTTCAGAGACAGAAAGAATATTGCTGTGCAGTGGCAGGCCCTGTTGCTCCACAGCTGTACATCTTAGCACTCCTAGAGGTCACTGTTGGGCTGTAGAGCTGTGCTGCTCTGTGCTGTTAAGCTGAAGATGTAGTTGTCTGCTCAAAGCTTTTCTTTCATAGACTGTAAATACTTTGAGTGCCGAAGCTTCTGCTGCTAAAAACAGCTCTGGAATTATCTTATTGTGCAAGCAAAGGCAACTTTGTTAGACTCTGCATTCATAGTGAGGGTCAGTGCTTTCAGAATAAAATGATGGGAGTTGCAGGTGCAAGCTAAACATACCCAAAGTGTGCTGCTTACAATGTGTTTGCACCATAGCAAAATTATAATCAGTTAGCTGAATGCAAATAGAAAATGTTCCCATCCTGAGCATTTTGCTTTCTCTGAGGGGCTGGTGGAGTAGTGGCCTAAGTTGGATGGATTTGGAATCTGCAATGGCTCTTCAAAGACTATGACTGCCCTCAGTCTTACAATAAACAATTAGTCCCTATACACCCATTGTCTAAAGACCCAAGTGACTGTGTTATCAGCTAAATAGGTATTTAAATCCTTGCATGTATAAACACAATGTAGTGTTTCTGACCTGCTTATTTGTACAACTCTCATATGGACAGAAAGCCAAATATCATGGAAGTAGAACCATTTCCACAAACCTTTGTAATACCAAAGTATTGAAAAGTACCTCCATGCAGCTGAGTGTGACTGTCCCAATGGATCAGTATTCAAGTTTCAGTTTTCCTAAGAGTGGTGAAAAGTATTTTTTAAAATATTTGTTTCTCTAATTTTTATGGGAATATTTAATTAAGTTTTCTAATAACCTCCCTTTTGCTTTCTGAAGCTGAAGGCTGAAGTTGAGATAACTTTGCAGTTTATGTGATATGAAAGGGTGAATACTGACATAGCATTTTGCTGGTTTCTGTTGGCTTGGCTGGATGAATTTCATGCTGTTGTTGTATGTATTTGTTCCTTTATTTCAGCTTCACTTTGTCCAATACGTAGCATTCCTCAAAAAATGTTTGCATTTTTTGTTTCTCCATATGCCCAATTAACATGAGATACCTGATTCTGAAGCAGACACTTCTTTCTCATGGCACCAAGGTCAAGCCCCAGAGATTCCACTAGCATTAAATGTGACATGCAGCAGAAGGAAGAATTGGACTTGTGCATTTTTATTGCTTCTCTGTCATGTGAGAAAGACTTTTCCCTCATTCAGTAATAGGGTTAGGAAGACACATGTGGATTGGTAGCTTATTCCCCACAGAAAACATAAAAAACACTAAGCTCTTGCTAGACAATTCATCCACAGCACGAATACAGAGCAGAGTGTGATTGTTGGCTTCGTTGAAGCTAAGGCCATGTACTTTGCAGTCAGCAGGCGTGCAGCCACCCACAGCAGCTCAGCTCATGGTGGGGAATGTGCTTCCTGAGTGCCTTGGTTCTGTCAGCCATCAGAACCCAGCAATGGCAGCAAGGAAAGCCTTCAGCCTTTAACAGGGGTTAACAGGGCATTCTGAGAAGAAAAGGAGGGAAGGAGTGGGGAAGAGCTGGTGTTTGCAAGATATTTGTAAAGAGCTGAGACAGGAATAGGCTGCAGTGTCAGGAAGCTACCGAACAGGGGAGCTGAGCAGAAGTGATGCATTTTCTCAGGTAATGAGTTTCCTGGCATAGGGATCATTCAACAAATTCTCTGTTCATTCATAACATTTTTTAGGGCAAAAGCATCTGCCTTGCTAATGCTGAGCAGCGCCCATAAGCCCCCTTCCCTTCTCTTTGTGGTGCATTGTTTTGCATCTTCATATACAGTTTTCCACATTTCAAGGAAGCAAACCAACAGCTCAAGTTCAATGTGGTTTTTCCCCTTGCAGAAAACCTTCAAAAAGCTGAAACATTTCCTCCAGCTTTGGGATATGGAGTTTCCTTTTCCAGTGGCGCTTTTTTCTTTTTGTTGTTGTTGTTGTTTGTTGATTGGTTTTGCTGGGGTTTTTTGTTGTGTGTGTCATTTTTTAATTTATTTCATTTTATAACATGCAGTTACAGAGTCAGGCACTGCGAGCACTGTACCTTGTGGCCTCACTTTCTTTTCCTGCTTTTTTCCTCCTCCGCAGATCCCTCATCCCGGCAGCACTGATCAGTCCCATACTTCCATGCAGCAAGGTTTGCACGTCCCTCACCCCAGCAGCCAGTCAGGGCAGCCATTACATCACAGCGGGCCTCCTACCCAGCAGTCCCGGCAGCCACCCCCGGCCGCTTCTAGCAACCATCCACACAGTGACCTGACCTTTAACCCCTCCTCAGCCTTAGAGGGTCAGGCTGGTGGACAGGGAGCACCCGACATGCCGGAGCCCTCGCTGGATGTAAGTCTGTGTCATACTCTCATCTGCCTGCCATAGCGTGTGCTTCCATCGCGCGGGAGGGCGGGGAGGGCAGGGGCCGGGGCCGCTTCCACAGCACATGCCATCCCTCATGCTTTGGTACATGGGCACCGGTGCTGCAGCCAAGGTGACAGGGCACTCCTGACCTGCTGGGAGAACGGATGGCTCTGTTGGAGCAGCTGTGTGGTGTGTGAGCCATGAGCCTCTTCCTGGCACGGAGGCAGGCGCTTCTTTAGGCAGCACCTCAGGCACCAGGCCGGGAGCCATCTCCTCCTTTCCCACCTCGGCGCTGGTTGGACTGTGCTCTCCTGGACCCTGAAGCTGTTGCAGTGCCTGGACAGGAGGAGGGCCACAGCTGTGTGAGGTTCTGGCCGTGGCATTGCTGTGCCACGTGAGCTCTGTGCTGAGCCCTGCAGCATGTCCTGGCCAGCAGGAGTGGGGTCTGTGTTGGCCCACCCTGTGACACAGTCCCTGCTCCCTGCAGCCAGAAACCATCTGTGCCCTTCCAAACCCACTCTTGTGGGTGGCTCAGCAGCATAAGTTCCTCTTCCCAGTACACCACACAGGGACATAAACAACATGGACATTTTCTGCCTCCTTAGCCACCATGGGAGGCAGCTCACAACTAACTGAGGTCTAGTTTAAGGCCAAAAGTAGTCTTCCATCTCTTAACATCGATTCAGTGGAGTTGTAAGTGACTTACTTGAGGTATATCTCTCTGGTTAGCCATCTACCTCCCAAAATATAAATCCTCAGCATTAGGATTGGATTTCTGTTTGAGTCATGCATTCCTGTATGTGTATCTTCTGTCTGTTCCAAAGTCTGCTGCTGCACAGTTAATTTCCTTAGAGATGTGTTTGCTTCTGTGCCTTGGATTTATATCTGTATTTGCTGTTGCTGTATACTTGCATCTCCCCTGTCACACAGGAGCACTGGGCTGGCAGGTAGCCTCACAGGGGAGGGAAGGGGCTAGGGGACAGATAGAGGCTTCAGGGTGCTGCAGGAACAGTGATCAGTGAGGCAAATTCTGCTATTTCACACAATATAGTTGTGTGCACATCCTTTGGGAACAATAGTTCATGTGGCAATTCAAGTTCTGAACCCTTAAGGATCCTGTCTGAGCAATACTGAAAGGTGAAATAAAAATGTCTCTTTTTTTTCTTCTAATATTTAAGAAACATACAGTATTTTGTTCTGGGTCAGGCACCCATTCCTTGGTGAGAAGCAAAGTACAAAAATCTGTACACTTATACAGTACTGTGGTTATCACTGATGAAGGATTGCTGGTTTCTTAACAGGAGGCAAGTGCTGTACAGTGTGGGAAGTAAACTTACTTGAAATACCTGTGATCCTGATCAGATGGATTATTTTAATGGGTCTCTTGTGGCTGAATAAAGTCCCATGCAGCAAAGCAAACAGGGCATTGTACTGTGGGCAACTTGACCCACTCCCTCCTGGCACAGTCACAGTCATTCTGCAGGAATTCAGTGAGATGCAGTCTGAGGTTTAACCTGGGTTAAAGAATCCACCTCCTATGGATGCAGGCACAGACAGGGGAGATCTGCACGGGTACTTCAGACAGCAGAGGCTCAAGGCTGAAATCACTGGTTAGACCTCTCCATTTGCACTTCAGGAGCACAGGGTACATGTCTCCAAACTCTGCCCTAAATCTGGCACATTCCTGTAGCTTCTGTCCCCATCACCCCCTCACAGGCCCTGGCACTCCTCTCTCTTCTGTCCCTGCTCCAGCACAGCACTCTCAGTTCCCAGCGAGTCCTTCCTGAGGTCTCTGGGTTTCCCACCAGTGGGGCAGGAGGCCAGCTCTGCTGCCTGACCCCTCTGGCCGAGGGAAGCTGAGCTCACCTTCACAACTCAGAAGACTTCAACTTCACATACTGAGCTTATTACTTAAAATTTCCACTCTTCTTAAACTTTTTTAAAAATCCCCGACATACAAGAATGAGTCTCATAGATGATTCAAATTTTTAAGAACAAGTTGTAAAATTGTAGGACAGATTTAATAACTTTTTTATTTCTCCACACTTGGTGAGGCTGCTGTTTTCTTTTGGACTTTTTTTTTCTTTTTGGATTTTTTTACAATATACTCATAAAAAATTCTAATAGGAGGTGAAGTACATTTAAAAGTCTCACATCTCAATACAATGACAATAGCATTTTTGCCATGAGTAAAATGAGGTGGTAGCTTAAGAAGAAGATTTCTTTTGGGAGATTCTGTTCATGTAAACTTGACATTGTGTTTTTTCTAAATGCTTAGAAAGCAGTAAACTTTTTTTGGCATTTCATGTTTAGCTTATTGAAAAATTTGTTTATCCATATAATATTAGAAGATGAAGTTTCATTTGCACAAGAGTAATAGAAGCATGTAAATACAGTATTTATTTGTTAAATTGAAGTGGTCAAGCTTTTGGTTTTATAATATTTGAAAACATTGAACAACTTAAAATTAATTTCATGTACCTACTATTAAGTTTGTTAAAACAGTCCATATATTTCTGTATTTAAAACAATGCAGAACATAAAAGGGCTTTATTACAAACTGTTCCCTGCAATTTTTTATATATGACACTTTTATATTTGCCTAGGAAAGGGCAAGATGCATTACAGAGCAGAAAACATTGCCTAATGCACAACCCAGGAGTTACAATGTGCTTGTCATCTGTCAGATCAAAAAGAATGTGTTGTGATGGTTTATTTCCATTTTCATGGAAATACAAATTGAAGTCCCATAGCTATTCATTTTGATACTTTAAAGCACTGTGCAGATTAGGTCATCTTCTGTTGGATGGAGTGTTACACCTGTGACCCTTTAAAATGTCTGGAATTGCATGTAATGCTGTAGTGAAGTAAGTACTTCCAACCACTGTAAATTCCTGCCACAGAAAGGAGAAGGACTCGCCCAGCTGCCCTGCCACTCCTCTCTCCATTCTCCTCCTTAATTGTTTTTTTTTTCCACTTTTCCTGACTTGCTGGTTGCTTTAACACCCTGGGTGAGTTCCTTGCTCCAGGTCACTGCCCCAGAGCTTAGATCAGTGCACTGAGGAGTTACTGGGGTGAGGAAAGGACAGGGCTGCCTCCTTCTGTAGAGTTGCAGGCTTTGAGTGGCCATCAAACTGATGTGTGAGGGCCAGACCAGCCTTTGCCCATCCACCTTGAAGCTCAGATGTGGATTACTCCAAGTGCTTGTTTCAAACGTTTATGCAGTGTTTTATAGGAAACATCCATAATGAGCATTTGTCCAGAAGGTTCTGTCGGCATCGTGAGCCAGGAAATATGATGGGGAGGTGGATTGAGAAACCCTAACTGAGATGATAATGTTATTCACAGGTGAAAACTGAGTCACAGAGACTTTCACAAGCAATTGGATACTGCATCATCTGAGGGTGTTAGGCTTGTGACACTGCCTTCTGTTTTATTTGGCTATATTGTTATGAAAATCAGATTCCAGGAATGTGTGGTGTTTAATCCCTTTCTTTTCTCAGTTGTGTTTCTGTTATCTGTAATTTTTATTTTATCTTTGTATTTTATAGCTGCTTCCAGAACTCACAAATCCAGATGAGCTGCTTTCATACCTGGATCCTCCTGATTTGCCAAGCAATAGCAATGATGACCTTCTGTCTCTCTTTGAGAACAACTGAAACCATGTGTATTCTCCCATCCTTTTCACTTGTTCACACGTGTGTGGCTGCACAGCGAGGAATCTTAACACTCCTTTTCCACAAGAGAAGAAAAAACCTCACAACTCGATCCAATGGTGCACTCCCCGCTTTCTTCATCTCAGAACTGCTTTTGTTAGCTTCAAAGACTGCGAAAGTGACGGGAGAAAATAATACAAAAGTTAAATAAATGCAGCAGTCTCCGAGTCTGCCATGCTACATGTGACAAAGAAGCATAGACAGTTGTGCAGCTATTGGAAACCCCATTTGGTGTTCATCCTCTAGAGAGAGAGTTCTGTGATAAACATAGTGTGAAGTATCTTGGCAAAACCGGATCTTGGCAAGGGAAGAAAAATCAACAGAATGGAACTGTCTTTAATTGACCCGTCTCAGAGTGTCTTTACAATGCTTGTTCTTCCATTTTTTTGAAACTGTATCTCCCTCTACCCCACCTCTCCTCTACCCCCCTCCAGCCATGGGTTTGCGTTGGAATAATTGTCCTGGCCACACACAAAATGAAAAAAAAAACACCTACAAAGCTCAAAAAAGCACAAATCCTACAGTCAAGTGGCAGAGTTAGGGAAGACACACAGGCCTGTCAGAGGGAGCCAGCAGTGTAGCTAATGCCACTTCAGTAACGGCCTGAGCTCTGCAGGCCGCAGCCGTGGGTGTCGGGATTTCTGCACGTGCAGGGATCTTTACCATCTCTTTGCAGAGGATTCCTCTGGCCCAGCACACAGATTGGAAGCACCCAGGAAAATTTTTTTTAAAGTTTGCAATGTTTAGGGATTTTCGTGATTTGGTTTCAGATCAGTACCGTTTCTGACTGCGTTAACATCCAGCTGTAGAGATTGCTGTCATAGATCTTTTTGCCATGTATGCCATACGTAATTGGCATATGGAAAAGAGAGGGAGGGGGGATGCAAACCAAACTGTTCCTGATTATTACCTACAGCCTTCGGTGCCCCAAGAGTTTATGTCACTGTCTGTACTGCACAATGCATAGTAAGACAAGCTGGGTTGAAGGCAGCGAGGAAATCATTGCAGGATGGAGGGAGAGTAACATCATTTTCTGCATAATTATTTTTAATAATCAGCTTGAGAAGGGGCATTGACATTGGACAGACGTCTTACAGCTTCATTTTAGTTTTGCTTTGCATTCTGTTTTCATGACTGTTACAGATACTTCCGCCTTTTCCTTTTCTTCTCCTTCAGTTTCTTTTTGTTAACTTTGGCTGCTGGGATGCGCTCTTTCTTCTGAAGGACCGAGTGTGTGGAGAATAAGTACCTGTCAGTAGATTGCTACTGCCCTCAAGAGACCCTGCTGCCACAATTACTGCCTTGCCCCTGTGATCTTTGCTTCTCGTGTGGTTGCTGCTCCTGCATGAGCTTCCTATTGCTTCTGTGCCCATTTCTGTGCTCTTTGTCTCTCTCTCTCTCTTATAAATGATGTACAGTAGCTGTGTAAGAAGTGCATGTGTGCCAACTTTGCCCTCGTGGTGCAACATTTCAGCTTTTCCCCACTGTACAGTTACTGGTTTTGTTTCTTTTGATACTAAAGCATATTTGACCCTACTCCTTTTCCTCTTCCCAAATCCAAACACCCTTCATTTGCTCGCCACAATGCATTTTAAACTGAAGTGCCAGGCAAAATTTTGTTTGTTCCTGTCAGTTTGACTAGCTAGCTTCCTAGCCCTCTGTGTTTAGTTTGCAATGCTGTAAATGGCATGCTCTGTGCTTACGACTCTGGATTTGCTTTCCTCACCAAAGTCATATTTGTAAATTCTCTGCATTTTTTGTTTTCTTTTGCTCTGTTTGTTAACATTTCCCACTACTGCTGTACATGCGTTGTGGTATATATATGCTAGTCAGCAGCACCTTGCTGTAGATATTAAAGGAAATGGCGGTTTAGTTCTTTTATTTTCCAGTAGGAGTATTGAATCTGTCAAACGTATTATGTAGAAATGGTCCCACACTTATATTTTTCCTCTTTCAAGTTTTTTTAAGAAAGGCGCTGTTCATTATGCAAAATCAATTATTTTAAGAATTGCTATTGTAAATATCTTTGTGAATATTTTAGTATCGTCTTTGATAATATTCAACATTTTCATGATCTGGTTATACTTTTGCTGGTGTTTTTAAATACCTTGTCTGAAGAAAAATATGGGTCCTTTTTTAAAAAAGAAAATTGAGGGTTCTTTAACAGAATAAGGGAGTTGGGTTTTGGGTTTTTTTCCCCCCTATTTTCTTTTGGTAAGTTAGCCCAAATTTCATATCCATTTATGTGATGAATGAATTGATACATCAGGCAGTACCTGGATAATCAGGGCCCAGCTCTGTCATGGAAACATAATTGTGTTTGCCTAGGGAAAAAGTAACCCCAACTGATCAACCAGTGTTCATTGACTGTGGGTGATCGTGAGCTGGTAATGGCAGAGTTTGTTCATTTGCCCAAATGAGCAGAACACGTAGGACCAGCTGTCTGACCAGGTAAAGATCTTGCACTAAGGCAAGCAGCAAATCTGTATGGTACCGTATTTATATCGCTGTACTGGTGCTCCAGTCTCTGAAACTGGGGCAAAGACACTTAGGGATGTTGGTGGGTGGGGGAGGGAAACAGTATAGTATATTTTATTCTGCTTAGAAATGTCTTTTTTCTTATGTAGGCTTGACAACCTGTAGAGGATCTGTGCAGAATATTAAAGATACCTTGGTGTAATACATGGTAATATGGTTGTAATATCACACAATTCCTAGGAAAGACCATTGTTCAGTTACTGATACAGATGTGTTGTGTAGCCATTTTCCTGTAGTAGTTTCCCCCTGGTTTTTTGCTGCATTTTTTATATAGGTCTGGAAGTCATGTGCAGAGGTGGCTAATGATAAACTGACTTTATGCCATTAGAGTTAGTTTTTTTCTATTTGGGGGGTAAGTTCCTTAAGCCATAGGTTTGGGAATAAAGAAGATTTCTCACTATTAGTTGGAACTGGTTGCTCTGATTTTTTTAATTGATTCTATTTCATGTTTCATTCTCCACTGATTCCTGAGCAGCTAAGTTAGTCACCTAAAATGAATTTTCTCTTAAATACAATATTAGTATTTTAAGCCAGGTATGTTAAGGATTGACCTTTTGCTAACTGCTAGTATTTAAAATGTATCATTTAAAAGTACCTGTTGGAAAGCATAAAGGGAAAAAAAAGCCCCATAGATATTAGCAATATGTTTGAAGCAGTGTTGGCATCTGCTTTGTACAGTAGTAGATAATTAAAGCGGACAGTTGACATCTTTAAACTTACAGAAATGTTTGGTTTCTAAGCAGAACTTAAAAAAGAAAGTACAATTTTTACCCATCACCCAAACGTTGGACATTTGAGACAGTTTTAAAATTTATCTGTCACCTAAAATCAGGTACTGTATAGTGAAGTCACTATGAAAAAGCTTCTGAAAATTTAGTTATTTTTTTATCTGTTCACTGCCGTAATAAAGTTTAGAGAAAAAAAACCCTAGCAAATAGGGTAATCACAGTAATTTCTTTTAAAGTTTAATTATTATATGAGATTCCAGTAGTATTTTTCTTCTTTTTTTTTTTTTTGTTGGTTTACCTTTTAATTGTTTCCCTATGGAAGTTCATCTGGGAAAGAACCCACAGAGATCTACAGTTCTGCTGCCAAGACATTATTATAGGACTGACAGTACACGCCAGTGTCTGCAGCGGAGACTCAAGGGACAGCTGTACATATGTAAATGACAAATAGAGACATGTTAACAGAAATGCATACATTTTCCTTGGAATGTGCATTGTTTTTATTTCGCAGGAAAAAAAAGCTTGAAGCTCCATCTTATGTGGAAAATGAATCCTGTTTGTTAGCGTTTGTGGAGTCTCAGCATTTGTTCCACTTTCACTTCTGTAATATACTCTGATCCTTTGTTTTGTTTTGTTTTATCTACATGTAATATTTAGCTTACGTGTACTAGTCTATCACCTGTGTATTTTTAGGGTGCTACAGAAATAATGAAGAAAAATACGGGGATTAAAAAAAAAAAGAAAAAAAATTGTAACCAAATTCATACTTTGTACAATTTTTGATATCACGATCAGAGGAGAATTAAAAAAAAAAAAGTACAATCTGAGGTAACATGCAAAAATGGCCATTGTCTTTGTTTGTACATTGTATGTACAGTACAATGCAATCATTTCATACTTTAAACTGGTCAGAAAAAATAATTGTGATTTTTAGTCTTGCAAAACTGTATGTAGTTAGATGATGTGACAACCTAATATTTATCTAATAAATATGTATTCAGATGAAACCTGTATATTAGGTGTTCATGTGGTTATTTTGTATTTAAAGATCAAATTATTTGACTATTGCTAGACATTTATATACTCTGTTGTAACACTGAAGTATTCTCATTTGCTCATGTTAAATTTTTTTTCCTAAATAAATTTGCAAAATTAAGGTCTGACTAATTGGCAGCTGCTTTGTAAATTTTGAGTTTCATTTTGAAACCATGAACTTCCCCTTTGCTCTGCCTGGTTTGAGTTAATGTGGAAGTCAGTTGCATGAGGTGTACCTTTTATCAGAGCAGGACTTGGTGCAGGAAGGGAAAGGTGGAAACCACCCTGGAGACCGAAGATAAAAGATTATGAATGCAAATAAGGGATCACACAGAAAAAAGTCCCTGCCAAGCAAGGCATTGGTAACTTGTTCTTCAGTATGCAGGGCACTGCCTCTCTTTCTCAGACAAGTAATAATTACTTTGAAATTAAATCTTTATGTGATATGAATAAGAGGAAAAGATGTCTTCTCTCTGGAATTGGCACATGTGGAGATATTAAACAACTAGCACCTTTGTTTTAACTTCTTCCAAATTTGATAGTTTTCTTTCAATTGGAACCTGTTACTAAAGTGAAATTAGACAATTTTTTTTCTTAATGCATCTCCATCCTAAAGTTGAAGCATTTTGTTTCCAAATGCAATCTTTGAGTTACAAATCTGCTCAATTTACTTACCTGTCCAGCTGTAAGCAGCCTGAATGGTGACACAAGGAGTACTCACAGGATAGCAGAAACACACACAGGTCCTGTCCTGGTGGAGTTCTGCACTGAATGGAGCCACAGCCATCACTCACTGCATCTGAGAACTTGGGTTAACAATCTACTGAGTATCTCTGGATTAGCAGATGGCATTTCTGAAGGCGTTTAGGCAGAACCCACCTTTGAAATACATTCAAATGCCTGGGAACAAACAACCATTTCACAATAGGAGTATCTATCTATGCAAGCACTTATAGCAATTATTCCCCACCTCCACAAGGGCACTAGTCTTTGTTGATTGGGATACACACAAATATGTGTATATGTGTGTATATATACGTATGTATGTATGTGTAAATCTAGACTAGAGATTTATTTTCTCAAAATTGGGAAAAATAATTTGTTTCTGACTCTGAATTTCTGCCTTCCTGGGTGGCACTACCCATTCCAGTAGAGTTTTTTAGGATAACATAATAGAATGGAGTTACTGTGTACACTGCAGTGAATCAAAAAGTATTTATCCATTTCAGCCCATAATTAATAACTGTTTTGGTTTTGGTATTCTGTTTTCCTGGAGGCTCCCCAGAAGTGTCAACAAGTCGTTGTGCAAACTGACTTTGGTACTGTACAGCTGGAGGAAAGCTCGTGATGTCCCTAAGCACTGTACATTTTTCAAGCTTACTTTGAAGTCTGCAGAGGCTGCAACAATCCTGAAAGTGGAATTTCTCCCAGCTGTCACCTGAGGACCCCAGGCTAGGTAAGATGTGTGTATACAGTTGATGCTGGTGTCTCCTGTCCCATGTCCTGGTGGTGTGTTCTGTGTGTCGTGCGCTCTGCTTCCAGAGAGCCACCTACACAAGTATCTGTCTGTGACTTCTGTGTTAATCCACATGCTGATCTATTGTTGAACAACTTCAGAACAAGCTTATTTCCCTGCATTTCTTCTCTTCCTCATCAGTATGGATCTCTGATTCATGTTATTTTGTTATGCATATTGTATTCTGTTGCCATGCACTTGATCTTGCTTTTTACAGGAGTAACACACTGGAAACAATTAGGAACATGGAAGGGGGACAGACCCCTTGTCTCTTTTCTGCTTGGACATTGGAGATGGGAGTCCTGTGCATGGAGCTGTTTGCTTTCATTTAAAGTAACCTAGTCAGCATATAAAACAGCTGTACAATTCTCACCTGATATTCTATACATAATTCTTCAATTTGTTATCCTCTGTTTCCCTTTAAAATTAAAGTATGTGGTTTTTACATTTGTGTACCTAATCTTATATTTGTATGTGTAATTATCCAGAATTGACTTCTATCTCCTTAAATTTCACATCTGTACAAATCTCCCTGCATTATGAACTTCCAGTCATGAACCTTTCTTTTTTACATTTTTAACTATTACCAATGTGTCATCTTATTACAGTTTTCCATTTTGTGTCACCAAAATGCTATTGACTCTTGTAGGATGTTGCTCCTAATGTCTGTCATTGCATCAATGCACTACTCATATTTGTTATGTGTAAAAAGAACACGAGATTTTTCTTGTCTCACGCAGACCACTGAAAGTTTCTGCTGAGATATCTTGTTTCCATCAGTCTGCAGAATTTTCCAGGGGAATACAAAAGTGGCCCCCAAGGAACCTGATGAATGATGCAATTTTGTTTGTAAAGCAAGCAGCCAGCAATTGGGTCACAGCTCGTGCAGGCATTAGCACACGGTGTGGCACACCTGGGCTGCCAGGCTGGTTTGCTACATAGTTCATCTGCATTGCCAGGTACTCCTTGCCTAGACCATAACTGCTTTCCTACTATTTAAGTACAGCCTTCTGTTAAAACCCTTCCCTTTCGTGGACTAGATGGGATAAGGCTCTTTCCCCTGTCTGTTGAATATGTCTGCTTGGTTTGTCCAGTATCTTTCCAAATACTGAACTCATATTCTTTTTGATAGATCCAGTCACACACAGCAAAGTTAATGCTAGTATTTGCCACTCCTAAATACACTGGCTTCTCTGCACCTTTTTGGGATTATTAGACATCCTAAGAGTTAGATTTAGGATTATCAGTTATGGTTTTCCCCTAGGTCAGAGTTATTTTAAATTGAATTTTAGTTTAGACTTTCTAGTTTGTCCATAGCTGTTTCATGATGCTGGTTGTTTTAGATTTTGCTAAAAATATTCTGGCACATTTAATTTATCACCTTGGTCTCATATGAAGACATTGATTATTGTGAACACAGAGACAGGTTGCTAATTTTAAGAAATTTCAACTAGTTAAACACTAGAAAAAGAGAAATATAATTTTTTTTTTTTTTGGTTCACAAAAACAATTTAAATTTCCTATATTTATTTAACAAATGCTGGAGTTGAAGTCTGAGTATGTTTTTAATGCATATTTAAATTTATTCCATTTTTTTTATATTTCAGAATTATAATCAGTGCTCCCTTTCTTACTTCTGTGTTTCTCAGAATGTATGCTTTCAAGAGATTGAAAATCAGTGAATTTTACCCATTAACACATCTGGTGAGCTTCCTAGTTAGTGACTGGCTGTAACAGCCAGTTCATAAAGTCATTGAGAATACATTCCTTCACAATAACTCCCAGCAGTTTTCCAAGTTATGAATGATGGTCCCTCTGGGAAGAAGCATGGCTTCCATAAGGCCACTATCAAACTGATGGCAAAACGTGCAGAAGTGCCACTGAGTCAGAGAAGAGAATTTCTTATCCTTAGCTTCAGAATAATTCAACAAACACTTCATTATCCAGAGGTGATGTTCTTGAACTGTAAATGTGACACATGCTAATTTGCATATGACAACTTGAGAGCTCAGCTGGTGGCACATTGTGTATTCAGGTGATGGCCACATGCAGTTATGTCATACAAGGACGTCATCAGGTTCCATGCTAACTCAGGTAGTGCTGCTGGTACATGCTGAAAGGAAGCAAAGCTTTCAGTAGGGAAATGGCAAAAAAGCAGAGAGGAATCTCAGATCCTCTGTAGTGAGGTTGCTCCGGCAGAGTGGTTTGTTACAGAATAACTGGTGGAATTTTAGAAATAGTTTAGAGCAGACAGGATAATTTATCTTGTACAAGGTACAGAGACAGCTGTTACCTCAAAGATATGCTATACAAAATGCATATTATATCTGTATTATGTATATAAATATAGGTATAGATCTGTATTGTATATATATGTATATATTAGATATATATTTATAGATTTGGACACAAGACAAATGCAAAGAAAACTCAAGTCTTTACCAGGCAGCTGATTAAAGCTCCAGTGCTATCTTACTCATACAGCATGAAGTATCATGACTAACCAATTCTTAAAGTATTTCTGATACTATTCCCTAATTACTTGTTCCTCAAAGCAGAGGTGGTAAATTAACTGATCCCTGTAAATTTCAAGTTGTGTTTGCAATTGAAATTTCTGTGGTTTTAGAGGTAGAAGGGCTCCTGTAACTCTTAATACTGCTTTGTAAGTATGCAGTGTCTCTGCCACCCACAGGCAGAACCACCTATTGATGTCCTGAAGATTTGTGAGGCCACTGGGTATAGTAACTGCATTTTCCCTAGAATCTAAAACCAGGCAAATTAAATGTCCTAAGTGCTTTGCCAGGCTGATGTGATCTATCTGTTGGCAGCTGTTGCAGTGTATGGACAGTGTTCTGGGCACTGCACAGAGGCACTGTGACACACCAGCAGCGGGCTGTCATGCATTATGCAGGGAGATTGAGTAATGAATTCTGGGCAAGCAATGTCACTCAGAAGTTCTGAAATGAAAATGCTAATCACAGCTGTAAAGAGCATGAGTGGATTGAGGTTTTTCTTGTATGACTATTTGTAGGTAATTAGAATGAAGTCATGTGGGGAAACTGCTCCTTTAAGTACAATGTGTGCTGGAGAGAATGTTCACGTCGTGAGCTGAGGTACTACAAGTTCCTAAGAGGAAACCTGGATCGGGGGAAATATTTATTAGCATTTTTTCTTTTTATCCTTAAGTGTACCTATGTGGCCACTCTATGCCCTTTGAGCTCTTGTATAGTTTAATTTCACACTGCAATCACTGAGTGTAATGGAGGTGTTTCACCATCTCCCCCACTCCAGTCCCCATTCATAAATAAATGCATATCACAGACAGAGATCACAGAGTTGCTTTCCAGCTCTTCACTCATCTTCTAGCTTAGCCAAAACCTTGAAGAAAAAATTAGGCTGAGTCTTTTGAAGTGCAACACATCCAGGCTCTGCAGGTGGAGAGTGCCAATGCCCACTGCAAATTCCTGCTCTCCTCACTTAAAATCAAGCTGAGTACCTGTATGACCTGTCCTTATTCTAACAGCCCTGATTAGCAGAGTCCTTGAGATAACCATGTCCCATATGTGCATTCATTCTTGTCAGTGTCAGAACCAGTATCATAGGAA